AATGAGATCCCAAGATCCCAAGATGGCCAACATCTCGACATATTCCGGGTTGTAGTGAATATAAAAGTGTGTTTGTCAACACGAGGTTCATGGGGCCATGAACTCTTTACTCTCATAACATAACTCATTACGCCTTAGTAATTACAATTCGTCGTCAAAATGAGTGCCAAGATTGACAACGATGTAATTTCCGAAATATTTAGAATGCATCTCATTGGCATATATACTCTTGGACGTTAAACTGAGAAAATGTGGAGAAACTAGTTGTTTGGCTAGTGCAGGTCTGTACACAGGTATTGAACCGCACATGCCTACCCATGAAGATCCAGGTTAGCATTCATCCTCAGCAACCGATGCTTGACGTAAGGGGCAGATAACAAGATAGGGTGGTCCTGACTCGATTATATCGGGCATTGAAAGATCCATACAGTAAACAATAGTTAGAAACATTGGGTGGATTGTTGAGACCAAATGGTTGTGAACGTTCAGTTATCGGATTAAGTTAAAGATGCGTGGAAGATGGCTCTTGTTCTGGTAATGAAAATAGGCGCAATTGGTTCGCTCCATGACTAGGGGTGTGGCCATGAGGGAGAGCTGACCACAGGCTTCAGTTATGGGACAATAGAAACAGTACTGCATGATCATGTACATAGGTCAAAGTTTTGTGACAACAAGTAGAGATTGCTGCAGTGCTTCAATTGTTCCCCGCAATATTATGTCATATGAACAAGGAAGAAGTGTAAGTAATGGGAGGAGAGGATTGGTGGAAAGTACAAACTGGTTATTACAAATGTAGTTATCTTTGGAAAGCGCAATAAAAGAAACAGTGTCTTTAAATAGCACCAGTAATATAATAAATAATTGATTACAAGTCCTGTATAAAAAAACACAAAAAATGTCATTCTTAAAACATGCTTTGGCAGCAAATATCAATCTTTCTGGTCAAAGCTTAGATGGGTTAAGTAAAACAAATTTTTGAAGTAGTAAACACAAATAAATGTACTCAATCCACTGTAAATAAACTTTCATCAAAATGTGAAAATATGTTCACGCATTTATTGAGGGATTCCGATTCACGTACGGGTTGGTCAAGTCATCTATAAATATTGAGAATTATCTTACATATTGTAAAAACAAAGCACATAAGTCACATGTCTCAAAACTACATTTAAGTAACTTCTTTGATAGGCATTTAGAAGTTGGAGGACTACGTAATGATAAGAATTTATGGATGAACAACTGCTTTATTACAATTTAGATGGACGTTTCGGTGTAGGTTCTAACACCGCTATCAAGCAAGTGACGTACGTGATCTTGTCATGGCGATTGTTGTTTCACTGCTCCGGAAAAAAATCGGAAATTGTGGGAAGAGAAGAAAAGTTTTCCAAACAAACGGAGGTGCATATGCTGTCTAAGTTTATGGTGGTCGCAAAAAAGCAGGTATAGGGATAGATATCAGTAGTTGGAGAGTTAGAATAGGACGTTTTTGTCCACGAGGTCGACGAGTCGGCGCTAGATACCCCGGTATAAAGCTACAGGGGGTACCCGGTTGGGACTCAGAATGTTGCTTCTGTCTATTACCCTTTTACTTGTCGCCGGAGATGTCGGGTCGACCCCCCCCCCCCCCCCCCCCCCCACACACACACACGAAACAACAACCTGAAGGTGTACAGTCTAGACTATCATCTCGCAACGTCTCTGGTCAAGTTATTACCCCATCGAATTCTGACAGTGCATCCATTACCCTCAATGATCTCGCTATTACACTGCCAACAATACAGTCACAAATTGCTCAGCTCAATCAGAAAATAGACGATTTCATACAGGTCTATGATGAAAGGTTATGCGATTTGGAAAAAGAAAATGACTTTGTTAAGGGGAAAGTGTTTGATTTGGAGACCAAGACACATAATATGGAGGCCCAATCACGTCGAAATAATTTGATTTTTCACGGCATACCCGACAAGAGAGGTGAAACTTGGGTAGAGCGGAAGTCAGTTAGAGATATTATGGCCTCAATACTCAATCTTGACTCTGCTGATTCTATCAACATTGAAAGAGCCCATAGATTACACTCAAAGTCAACAAACAGGGCCATAATACTGAGATTTTCTTTTTATAAGGATAAATCTGAAATTTTCGATGTGGCAGGGAAAGAGTTAAAAATGAATAATGACTTTAGAGTAGCTGATGATTTTACGCAAAGAGTTCGAAATGTGCGATCGAAATTGTTTCCCTTCATGAAGCAGGCTAGAGATGATGGTAAAACTGCCTACCTGAGTTATGATAAGCTTGTGATCGAGGGATCTGTGTTTGTGTTGGATGAGGAACAGGAGGGCCTCTGTAAAGTGGGACAAAGATGTCACTAGGTGTCACGCAGACAGCCTATAGCAGAAACAACTTCGGCAGGGAGTGTTTATACCCAGGCTGAGGGAGACTAGGGGTGTGGCCATGGCTACAATCATAATCAGAGAAGAAAAACGCTTGCTTTACATTCTTAGGTCATAGTTTTGATTGAACTTCTGACAAGTGTACAAACATTACTACAAATGTTATCCGTACGTCAGGTATTGTTAATAATGTCAACAAAAATCGATGACATTCCACAGTAACATTTTATGAAGAAGTAAGGACGACATGGCAGGAAGATTTGAAACGAAAGTCCTACACTTGTGAAGAAAGATCTTGGATTCGTTGGATGGATATCCATTACCATTAATGGTGAGTGCCACATTGCACAGAGGTACGTCCTTGATGTCAAACGGCCCATGTTGGTGGGTGTTTACATGTCATGTCGCATCACCCGTTTACGCATTAACCAATGAAATTTGTGTGTTATCATGACATCATATTGCCCTGTCAGATCACTCGTATAAGCTCCACATACTCTGAGTGTGGTAGTTCCAATCGAAAAGACCCGCTCCATTTTACACCACAATTGAAAATACGTTAAGGGTCCATCTTTATTGTTTTTTTCAATGTATCTGTTATATGTTTCTTTAGTAAAATGGCATCCACGCCCTCACTAGTCACAACTGTGTGATCTCACATCTCAAGTATGTGATTCCACACAGCTTACCTTTTCCCCTGCGTCATTGCTTTCTAAACTTGGCACCTTAATGTCTGTGGTACACAGTTGATGGCACTGATCGACCGATAAGTTCGGTTTGGGATAGCTTTGTAGGTGTTGCAGCTCCGCCATCTACGAAGAAGGCAATAAAGCAGTTGTGTTTGTGCAGTTTGGATGAAAAAGTCAACAAATATCAAGGGTAGTCAATGCGTATTGAGCTTTGGTACGTCATTAAAATGCGTTTGCTTTTGTTTGCCGTTCAGCTAACCATGTTGACACCGATATCCCTGCAAACTGTTATCTCCCTGCCATCTAAAGCACCCAGAAGATGATCATCCACTTGTGGATATTGCCCTCACTGTCTTTACAGTATACCTTAGAGGAGAACACCTTAGAAAAACGTAGGTCTCTGTCAAGGACATTTCAAACTGTACTTCATCAGTCTACTGAGTCAAGTGATGGCGGGGATTGAACATTACAAGTCTATGTCTTCTGATTGGCTTACAGTGAGGGATAATCACACTCAGACTTGCATATATGCATCCCTGAGCTAATGTTATCAGCTACTGTTTACAAGAAATGAAATGTGTGTACAAACCAATGCTAGAGTTTACTCTGAATAATGTTCTCATGGCCAAAATTGATTATCAATACCAATTTACACCACCTACCAGAGAGTAAACGTAATAACCCGAGGGAAGCACACACGTTCTATGAAGCTGCATCACCTTTAACTAAAAATACCATTGCGTAACGAACTGTATCAACGGTAATTACATCATTATTCATTTAAATGTAATTGGAGAAAGACACTATGCACCAAAGGAAGACGTGAACACAGTCATACTGCATCATTAATCCAGTGCCGATATTCAGTTAATATTTGTGCTGTATGTTTACTCCAACCTTGAATATCACCGCTGCAATCGACAGCTTACATAATTATAATATCTGCCTGAAATTGTACCTGCACAAAAATCTATGAAGGTTCTTTGTGAACATACATTTTCAAAGGTATTATTTGGTTTCCCCAGCCTTTAATATTACATCTCTTCTGATGAGGAGCTTACTCAAATATGTGATCCTGCTCCAAAAGTAAATTGTAGTAATCGTCTACTAGAAAGACCTATTAGATGTATTTGATGTCAGGATTTTCATAATGTGAATAGGTCTGTCTAATAGCTTGCTCTGTGAAATCAGTATGACTTAGAATTATGATGTCGCTAATCTGTATTGAGAGTATTATGATAGATGTTTCTGATGAATTGTTTCTACATCTAACTGCCAACATAGCAGGTCTCTGGGTGCATTTTTGCGCTGTGCACACTTGTTCATTACCATGACAAATTGACACTTCACCGTGGATCCATACAGGAAAATCATCGCTTAGATCTTTTCTGTGAGCAGGGTCATGACGTGTATCTAGTTTCAGATACCAATACACAATACATCATATCTCTCTGCGCTTTGGTGTCAATGTGTTATTGAGTTTGGGAGAAGACGGAAATCTACATATATCGACATATGAGAGAGCGACACATCCTTCTCTAATGAGAATAAGATAATGGAATAATTCACCTACGAGTTAATTTTGAATTTGTTTGTTTCGTAATTAACTAAGATAATCACCACCTGGTGACAAAAGAAAGTGTATCTATTTCCTGGTCTCAAGCCTTTAATTTTAGATTTTTTCTCAAAGCAATATCAAAAGGACATCCAGTTTTCGGAGATATGCTGTATGACAGAGTGTCATCTGAATGAAAGCCATGTCTAAGGTCCCTAACCCTAACCCTCATGGTAGCCTGAAACTAAAAGTTGAAATACTTGGTTATAATGCATCGGCTATCAATGAACCATACATCTTGTTTTTGTTCAAGAAAAACTCACCTGTGAGTGTACAACATAGAAACATAAGACAAACTAGAATACGTGAAGTGTCCAATTTAATATTAATGGTTACCACCATTTGTTTGAAATTCCAATGGCAATCACTGTACAGTGTCATGCTCTTGATAAGAGATGATAAAATCCATTTTCACTTTCAGTAAGAACAACATTTCAAATAGTACTGACAGTGATTTTATCCTCTTTTTTCCATTACACAATATGCAGTTCGCTATCCTAATAACATGATCAATGTATAATGTCACGGACATGTTAGTTGTTACTACACATAGGGTATGAAGATGCATTGCAGAGCCAAATTACGCCATGACTCTGTTGCATTATGATCCAGAAACAGTGCGATGATCCACCAGAATACACTTCAATTATAATTCAGTATGGTTAGTTCAGTTGGTTGAAGGAGACAGTTCCTTTTTTTAATATTCCAGAATGATCTGGTTTTCATAGCAAAAGAGACACTCGAATCGGTTCGAATGGGTTCGAATAACAATTTACCGCTTTGATGCTGACAGTGAGCATATTATCCTCCAGTGAACAATACATATTTTATTATCCTAATAACAATCCAGGAAGGTGCCAATTGTGAGGACATGTTGTTGTGTGAGTTCAACGTCCAATGTACATACATACTGTGGTGAATGTTCTCAATTGTTTTATTTCTGTATTTCCAAAGGACCCTAGAGCACAGGGACAAATCATTTAGCATAAGAGGTACAGATCGTTGAAGATTCACACTGGTATAATAGCACAAGGACCTTTCATTTATCATGTTAGTTTGATGAGGAATCCCCCAGTCGCACACAGCCAAACAGCCATGAATATAACCATACACAGACAGTCAGCTGATATCAAATATCCACCAGAGTCAGAACTTCCCCAGCCTTCCTTCACTCGGTTCCCATCGCCTGCCAAACCATGGTTTTTAGATTCCTGCTGAGTCTCGTCCATAACCTTGCGTTTACGTCCATGAAGTGATAACGACCAACAACGTGGTATCACAAACAGTGGTGAGTGTGTATTCTTGTTGTTGATCTTCCTGGTATCTATCATGACGATTAAGATGGTGGTGACAACCGACAGAACGCTGATGCCGAACAGACATGTAAGATACAGGGTGACCAGCGGGATATTGTCGGACGAGTTTGGAAGTAGTCCACTCACGATGCTCATGAATACAGCTAGAGAGAGAAGGCATGTGATGCCATACGAAACCTTCTCGCCACAGTCACACGGCAGTGCGAACACGAATATGTTGAGAAAGGAAAGCACCACTACAGGTAGAATGACATTGAGGACAAAGAACGCCGGACGCCTCTCCAGATCAATCTGAATGTAAAGATTAGATAAGCTTAAATCTTCTCCGATACGCCTTTCGCGAGTGAAAGCTCTGGAACTTGGAAGAATCCATTCTCCGTTAGTTGTGAAGGATTGGCTGTTTGCACTCTTCAAAGCTGAGACCATCTTTACCTCACTTGAATCATAGCTGATTGGGATAAATCGGAACTCGCATGTCTGAACATCAAATGGGAATAAGGTCAGGTCTAACTTACAGTCAGTAAGAAAGTTTGCCCCAGGTGTCCAAGTGACTGTGCCATCGCTGTAAACTGTGATACCGGATGTGTCGTCTTTAAAGACGTCCCGATCCTCCAGAGACACTGGAACCATGAGTTTCGGTCTCCAAATGTCAGTCAGTGGAGGATGAATATACTTAATGCCGTTATAATTCTCAGGTTTCCAGATAAGGAACTCGTCCATCCATGTCAGATTCATCCAGACGTTGCTGTGGAGGGTCTGTCGGACCTGATCAACTTCAGTTATTGCAACCAGGTTGAATGTATTGTGAACGTCAACATGGTGACTCTGGTTGTTCACGGGTCTGTGTTTAGTGCTGTAGTTCCGAAACAGGTCACTGTACAGCCTTTTCATGTCTTCAATATTTTCTGCAGCAGATCTACATACCACCAACACCAACACCAGCACAGACGGGAGCTGCATCTTCCTCGGTCACCAGCTTTGTACAAAATAAGGTCCACCTATCATAATTGATAGTTTAATGGGTGTCTACAGAGAGACCAATTGCCTTGTTGTTTATGTGTAGTCTTGGTGATTATTTCCACAGATAACAAGGACAGTCATCGATTCAAAGGGTATTGAGTATTGGCTTTTATTTGTCGCACAGGCAGCCATGTTGACATATTCCGGCGCTAATGGAACTTCATTATCCACGCAAAAGCATTTACCCACGAAATTGAATTGAAGGCAATGTGTACACACCGATATTAATTGTAATGTCAAGTAGAGGCATCCTAGCCCGAAATGAGTATTGATATATAATACGTCCATTTAAATGACGTATGCTTCATGTTGTATGGGACAACATTGTTCTTTCAGCGGTATTGATTTTGCATATCTTGGACAAAGCAAGCTGTCAGCTCTAAATGATTACAGATTGTTTCTGTATTGTGGGTATCAATCACACATTCCGGTCGTTAACAGTGGGTATACTGTACAAGAAATCTTATGTCGGCCACATATTGTACTTATTGGAGGCTATGTGATCGCTCCATTATAAAGTGAGTGTTGTTGTTTTATGCAAATGCTGTTGCAGGTGTATCACGGCAGCGTACAGATAACGGACTTCGATCCTGGTATATTACAATGTTGGGCTACGATATACAATGTTAACAACTGTGTTTTAGCTGTAAAGTTAGTTAACGATTTCAAACAGTCGGTGCTTCTTTAAACAAGGGACAATTCAAGTAATATTTTGCACATTTATGCCTGATAGAAAACTATACATTGCTATATAAATATAGTCAGATGTTTTCATTCATACCAAGGTTAAGGCCAAAACGAACATAACAATTGTACATTTTCTTGAACTTACCTGAATTACGTTAATGAAAGTGGTATGTGTTTCATGTTAATAACCGTTTTAAATCGTTACGTTTGTGCAAATTGATTTCAATTATCATAAATTCGATTGTCTTTATTGGTAAATAACAGCGAGATGGTAAATTATAAACCATTTCAGTAAATAAAATTATCCAAAAGTAAAACAGAATAAAAGCCTAATTTTCGAGGTCATATGGTAGTTGCAGAAATAAGGACATTAGTGTAACTTGTCATGTTATAAATGTTCAGGAAAACATTAATGACTCATAAATATTCACCAATCCTAATTTCAAGTCTTCTGATTGAATATTTACGATACACGAAAGTACAATTACCCTGTCGTGATGAAGACGTACGAAAATCAAACATGGCGCGTTTCGCCCGATCTCAGCATAACTTATTGCTATTTTAACATCAAGAATACATTGCCTTCATATACATGCATTGGCGAAAGTTGACGATCTTCATTGTCGAAGGTTGTTTCATTTGTCATTTTGCGTTCAATGTGACGAGAGAAAAACGAACTAAAGGCTCGTGAAATCTGACAGCAATATTTCAGTAAGTGCTAAGGTCATCGGATGTGATGTCACATACAGGGGTAGTCTGCTGATAATCTATCGTTACAAAACAATTAAACTAAATTTTGAAATATTTCGCCAGTCACATCCGGAATAAACACACATCACTTCATAGTATCAGTAATCACCACTAATATGAAATAACAATGTGACTGTGACGATATAAGTGGCGTGTTATTTAATTCGTTTGACCTTGTGTGCTCCCATGGCCTGGAAACGGTAGATGATGAATTCACACGCCACATGCTCGGTTTCTCGGTATCTTTTATTTGAACTTTTGTTGATATATTAGGATCACCATTCGATGTTACGTTGAACAAAAAGGAATATCATTCATGTATCTGAGATGTACATGCTGGTCAATAAAATACCAAATAAATATTTTCAGTGTTTCACATTAAATGTGAGATTATGACGAACAGGACTCCAGATGAAGGACAGTTAGAGTCGCGCTGTGAACATACAACCACAGCAACATAAAACCTGGGCAGATGAAATACTTGAAAGCCCTTGAGACTTACTAATACGGTGTGCGTCGACACGAGTGTTGTGATTTTTGTTTACAGATTCAATGCTTTCAATCAATTCAATTGCTTTAATTCACCTTTAAGCTCTACGTATTGTGACAGGCCAAAATGTCGTCGCGATAACAAATACACCCAAGGGGAATGTACAGAAATATGATATCACAATTTGGCGTGCCTAGTGGAGTCATTTACTGACAATTGACTTCGACTGTTTTCCTTAGCGTTAAAACTGACAAAACTAAGGTTACAGCAGGCATCAAATAGTGTACCCTAATGGGTCAATCAAAGAATATTGCTGAGACGGTTGCATTCCGTTCATGGAGAGGCTGTCCAATTATATGCCACAACTAAACATTTGATGAAGGAATTCCAGCATGGAAGGTGGTCTGCACTCTTGTCGATCCATCACTGCGCCACAAAGTAAAACATTGTTCCCGCCAACAATCTCGTACTGAAAATAGGTGCCATTTCAATCCAGGGTGTAGCGGAAACTACAGGGATAATAGAAACAATGCTTCATCACAATTCCCATATGGCAACGTTTTTAGCCAGTAACCACAGCTTTTCAACTGTGCGGTTGTAGATTCCTCAATTTGGGATGGACATCATATGTCTCCTTCACGCAAGGTTGCAAAGTTTGCTCCAGCCTTATGTTTGATATCCTTCTTTATTGTTTGTGACTATACATCTGCAGTGAATCTTTAGTTAGTTAAATGAGGCTATAGTCATATGGCATACATGAACTCACAAGTCATTGCTTTCTAAGTCTGACACCTTGATGTGCGTGGTACCATAGCCACGATAACTGTAATTCCATGTTGTATAATTACACATTAAGTATTGTTGTGTTACGACTGGTTTTCAGCCTTTTCTGACAACGTTTGATAAATTCAATGAATTAGGATCATATTCAACTGATGTAAATTTCGGTTTTGGACAATCACACACCGATCTTGTCGATAGAATGTGAAAGGCATATAACCTGTCATCAATTTGTACTGTGTATCCTCTAATAGTAGGCATTGAGGTGTTGGTACATACATGTAGTCATTAAGTGCTTTCCCTTCTGTTTGGCACATGGGCTCCAAGGGTTATCTTATCTTGTGTAACTGGCCTAATGAACTCAATAATCCATATCAGTAACCACAATAAGATTGAATACAACCCGGTATACACAAATGCATTGGAGTTTACACCAAGGAAGGATCTTATTGTCTCAAATGATTACCAATACACGATGCATTATACCTCACTCTATTTTGGTGTCAATGTATTTATTGAATTTGAGAGAAAACAAACGGTCTATCTCCAGATATCGAACTATCATACTTCTTCTCTCATGACAATATGATAATGGACTGATTCACTTACGAGCAAATATTGAATTTCCACACTGTTCCATGATGTATAAACACAAACAACACCAGATGATAAAATAGTATATATTTCTTTTCTGTCCAGTGTCCCAGGCCTTGAAGGTTAGGTTTTTTCTGTGAGCAGGGTCATGACGTGTATCTAGTTTCAGATACCAATCCACAATACATCGTATCTCTGCGCTTTTGTGTCAATGCTTTTGTTGAGTTCGGGAGAAGACGGAAATCTACATAAATCGACATATGAGAGAGCGACACATCCTTCTCTAATGAGACTAGGATAATGGAATAATTCACCTAAGAATTAATTTTAAATTTGTTTCGAAATTAATTAACATAATTACCACCTGGTGACGAAAGAAAGTATATCTATTTCCTGGTCCCAAGCCTTTTATATTAGATTTTTTCTCAAAGCAGTATCAAAAGAACATCCAGTTTTCAGAGATATGCTGTTGGACAGAGTGTCATCTGAATTAAAGCCATGTCTAATGTCCCTAACCCTAACCCTAACCCTAACCCTAACCCTCATGGTAGCCTGAAACTTAAAGTTGAAATGCTTGGTTATTATGCATCGGCTATCAATGAACCATACATCTTGTTTTTGTTCAAGAAAAACTCACCTGTGAGTGTACAACATAGAAACAAATGACAAACTAGAATACGTGAAGTGTCCAATTTAATATTAATGGTTACCACCATTTGTTTGAAATTCCAATGGCAATCACTGTACAGTATCATGCTCTTGATAAGAGATGATAAAATCCATTTTCACTTTCAGTAAGAACAACATTTCAAATAGTACTGAAAGTGATATTATCCTCTTTTTTCCATTACACAATATGCAGTTCGCTATCCTAATAACATGATCAATGTGTAATGTCACGAACATGTTAGTTGTTACTACACATAGGGTATGAAGATGCATTGCAGAGCCAAAATACGTCATGACTCTGTTGCATTATGATCCAGAAACAGTGCGATGATCCACTTCAATAATAATTCAGTATGGTTAGTTCAGATGGTTGAAGGAGACAGTTCTTCTTTTAATATTCCGGAATGATCTGGTTTTCATAGCAACTGAGGCACTCGAATCGGTTCGAATGGGCTTGAATAATAATTTACCGCTTTGATGCTGACAGTGAGCATATTATCCTCCAGTGAACAATACATATTTTATTATCCTAATAACAATCAAGGAAGGTGCCAATTGTGAGGACATGTAAGGTGTGAAGATGTTTATAAAAATGCGTTGTTGTGTGAGATCAACGGCCAATGTACATACATACTGTGGTGAATGTTCTCAATTGTTTTATTTCTGCTTTTCCAAAGGACCCTAGAGCACAGGGGCAATCATTTAGCATAAGAGGTATAGATCGTTGAAGATTTTACACATTGCCAAAATATGACAAGGACCTTTCATTTATCATGTTAGTTTGATGAGGAATCCCCCAGTTGCACACAGCCAAACAGACATGAATATAACCATACACAGACAGTCAGCTGATATCAAATATCCACCAGAGTCAGAACTTCCCAAGCCTTCCTTCACTCGACCCCTGAGGTTCCCATCGCCTGCCAAATCATGGTGTTTAGATTCCTGCTGAGTCTCGTCCATAACCTTGCGTTTACGTCCATGAAGTGATAACGACCAACAA